GAGAGGAGAATGGAGGAGAAGGGATTGCGACATGGCCATCCGCCCTGGGGGGATGATTTCTCACTTTCTGTTTTTCTGTCCCTCTTTCTGGTGAGTACACGCACGCTATAGCAAAAAAAAACCTCTCCAAAAAAAAAAATTAATTTTCCGAGTATGCCTTCAGTTATAAATGTAGCTTAATTTCACTTGAGAAATACTAGAAAACACAGAAAAAGAAAAAGGAAAAAAAAGTTACAACCATAATTACACGACCAAAGGCTCACCTGTTTATACTTTGATGTTTTCAATTTCATAAATATACACATGCAGAGGTAAGTATGATAGATTGTTTTAAACATCCTTTGCATGGAATTGTACATAATTTTTTGAGTAAGACAAATTTAACAATCATTTATTTTATTTATTATTGTTATTATTCAATTTGATCAGAGAGAGACAAAGAGAGAAAGCAAGCTGCCAAGTCCAGGACTTGAACTACAGTCAGCCACATGGGAGTCCAGCACCTTAATTACCATGCCCCCTGCCAGCCCTAGAAAGACAAATTTTTGAAATAATCTCACCATGTCGTGATCCTCTTGCCCTAACCTCCCAGTAGCTAGGACTACAGGCATACCCGACTTGTTTAGATTAGTCTGAGAACCTGGGTTTCCATGTGATCTTAGCCTCCAAGTAACAATATCAGCAATGGCTGAGTCCTGTACATAATACTTTTCGTTTGTTTTGATTTTTTTTCTGAGAGATTTTTCCTTTTAGGGCACGTGTACTTACTCGAAAGACAGACAAAGACGGAGGGACAGAAAGCAAGTAATTACCTTTCATGAAGATTGCATGCTGCAGTACCTTCTCCATTCTCCTTTCAGAATTTTGGGCATGTGTGTACACGTGCCGGGCATGAGTTTCAAGCCACCAGGTCCAGGACTTGAATCACAGTCAGCTATGTGGGACTATAATGCCTTAACCACTATACTGCATGCTGGTCCCATTTTATTTTTTTATATTATTTATCTATGTTTTAAGATTTTTGCCATAGTGTGCATGTGCTTGCCAGAGTGAGTCAGAGGGGGAAAGTGAGAAATCACCCCTGCATAGAGGATAGCCACACTGAAATCTCTTCTCTCAGGATCCTAGGCATGCATGCATACAAGCCCAGTGTGATTTTCAAGCCACCAGGTTGGGGATTCAAAATTGTTGACCATGGGACCAGCAGTTAGTGTAATGGCTATGTCGCTGGACTCCAATGTAATCGACCACGGTTCGCGTCCTGGACCCGGTGGCTTAAAACTCACGCTGGGTGCATGTGCGTGTGTGCCCAAGATCCCGAGAGGAGAATGGAGGAGAAGGGATTGTGGCATGGCCATCCCCCCCCCGGGGGGTGATTTCTCGCTTTCTATCTCTCTGTCTCTCTCTGTCTGTCTGGCGAGCACATGCGCCCTATAGCAAAAAACTCTAAAAAAAATTGTTGGTCATGTGGGAATCCAGCACCTTAACCACCATGCCACCTGCTTCCCATCCACATGTTTTAAGCCTTATTTTTTTCTTCATAGTAAATATCACATACTTGAGATCGATCCTCTTAACAAACTTGTAAGTGCACAATTGTCTTAGTCTGTTTCGTGCCACTATAACAGAATACCATAGACTGGGTTTTTTATAAACAATAGACGTTTATTTAGCTCACAGTTCTGGAGGCTGGAAAGTCCAAGATTGAGAGACCACATCTGTTGAAGGCCTTCTTGCTTCATCATAGCACAGTGTACGGTATCACATGATGAGAGAACACACGAGAGAGCAAGAGGGGTCCAAACTTACTGTCAGACAAAACACATTCTTGACATAAGGTGCCTACTCCAACGATAATGACATTAATCTACTCATAATGACACAGCCTCTTACAAAGGCCTCACCTCTTAAAGATCCCACCTCATGACACTGTTTAATTAGAGATGAACTTTCTAATACATAAAATTTGTTTGTCACACCCAAACCATAGCAACAGTATAGTAGAGTTAACTGTAAGTACAACGCAATGGTAAACAGATTTATCTAATGTTTTTAAAAGGCAGGGTCTCTTGATGCTGCAGTGTTCTTGTCTCAGCTTCCCAGCTGGGACAACTGGAGTGCACCTCCGTGCCCAGTGTTTAGTTTGGACTGGGATCGTACCTGTACTTCCCATGTGGTCGTAGGCTGTAGAGCACTGTGTTTTAACAGTGTGTGCCACTGTGATTGAACCACTAGAACTTCTCATCCTGCATGAATGAAACTTTTATGATTGGCCTTATTTTTTAATGCCAGAGAGCACATACAGTCACCAGGGAGAGACAGCAAGAGAGAGGGAGAAAGGACCCTCTTGATGTGATGTGGTCATGCTGCAATCCCTTCTCCTCTGTTCCTCTATCCTGTTGGGTTCTGATGCCTAGCAATTACATGTGCCCAGTGTGTTTCTAAAGCTGCCAGGGCAGGGACTCAAAGTGTGGTCAGCTGTGTAGGATCTGGTTCCTTTACCACTAGGCCATAGGTCTGGTCCTGGCCTTATTAACATATTACCATCATATGCAATATGTTCTTTTAAAAATCATTATTAGTATTATTAAATTTGCTATGGGACGTGCGTGCTCTCCACAGAGAAGAGAGAGAGAGTAAGAAAGTGTCTTCCGGGGGGACCGGCAACACCATAATCCCTTTTCTTGCATTCTAGTCTCTGGATTTGGGGCATGCAGTTACACACCCAG